GTGTCCTCAGAAAGGCTTCTCTTGAGCTGGAGGTAGTGGCTCATGCCTTGTAGTCTTTGCACTCTGGGAGGCCTGGGTGGCTGGATTGCTGAGCTCAGGACTTTGAGACAGAGTGAGACCCCATCTCTAAAAATAGCTGGGCCTTGTGTTGGAAGCCTGTAGTCCCAGCCTCTCAGAAGGCTGAGGCAAGGGAATTGCTTGAGCTCAAGAGTTTGAGGTTGCTGTGACACCATGGCACTCTACTGAGGGTGACAAAGTGAGATTCCATTAAAAAAAAAAAAAAAGAAAAAAAAGGCCTTCCCTGGCTTACCAAGTTAAACACCCGCCTCCACCTGGGATTCTCTGTCTCCCTTATCTCATAGCACTGTTTCATTTTCTTCATAGCTCTTATTATTATCAGGAATTATCCTGTTCCTTGTTTATTATCTGTCACCTCCTAAAATGTAACTTCATGAGGCTTACCTTATCTGATTTATCCTCCTCTGCGTTACTAATTTAGAATGGTGCCTGGCATATAGTAGGTGCTTAACAAACATTTGGTGAGTAGATGAATGAACAAGGGTGGCCATAACCCTAAGACAAAGCTGAGCAAGCTGAAGCCTCTCCTTGGGGAGACACCAACCCAGAGCTGGGAGTGACTCCCTGTTATGAGAAACATTTTCCAGAGGGGTTTCCCCATCTGGACTCTTGGTCATAACTCTGATTCTTTTAATTTGTTATTTTCCTATGCTTATAATTTTCTCTTCTTTTACTTTTTTTTTTTTTTTTTTTTGCAGTTTTTGTTTATTTTGGCCAGGGCCGGGTTTGAACCCACCACCTCCAGTATATGGGGCTTATGCCCTACTCCTTGAGCCAAAGGCACCACCCTCTTTTTACTTTTTTTGTTGTTGTTGTTGTTTCGGGTTATTTGAGGGTATAAAGAATTAGGTTACAATGTTTGCGTTTGTTAGGTAAAGTCCCTCTTATAATTATGTGTCCTGCCCCCAAGAGGTGTGCCATATACCCTAATGTTGTGTCCATTAAGTGGGAGCACACCGATCCCCCTCCCTCCACCCTCTCCCTGCCCCTTGTTACCTTGCCCCCTGCTTTGAATTAATTTGAGTTTTTCTCTCTATGTAGACATGTATTAGATCATCTACTAGCTTCATATTAGTATTGAGTACGTTGGATTCTTGCTTCTCCATTCTTGTGATACTTTACTAAGAAGAATGTGTTTCAACTCCATTCAGGTTAATAAAAAAGATGTAAAGTCATCATCTTTTTTTTTTTTGAGTCTCAAGCTGTCACCTTGAGTAGAGTACTGTGGCATCACAGCTCACAGCAACCTCCAACTCCTGGGCTCAAGTGATTCTCCTGTCTCCTCCTCCCAAGTAGCTGGGACTATAGGCACCTGCCACAATGCCTGGCTATCTTGTGGTTGCAGCCGTCATTGTTGTTTGGAGGGCCTGGGCTGGATTTGAACCTACTGGCTCAGGTGTATGTGGCTGGCGCCTTAGCTGCTTGAGCCACAGGTGCCAAGCCAAGTCATCATCTTATTTTATGGCCAAATAGCATTTCATGGTATACATATACCATAACTTGCTAATCTATTCCTAAGTTGGTGGGCTAACTCTATTCTTCATGTGCTTCCCAGGCCAATCTGGGTTCTCCTTGAAGGCAGACTCCTGTTCCTAGGCATTTCTGTGGCTAAAGCATTATCACCTATCAATCAGAATACGGGAACAGTGTTCTGGAGACTTCCATCCATGCTGGGCATTCTTCCTTTAGGTGCTGGATCACGAGGAGGATGTCCCAAAACTGAGAGCAGCATCTACTTATGAGCACATGCAGAAGTATTTCAACATGTTTTTATTGGAGACAGTCACACTTTGTCGCCCTCCATAGTGTGCTGTAGCGTCATAGCTCACAGCAATCTCAAACTCTTGGGCTCAAGCAATTCTCTTGTCTCAACCTCTGGAGTAGCTGGGACTACAGGCTCACCACAACACCTGGGTATTTTTAGAGACAGGGGTCTCACTCTTGCTCAGGTTGGTCTTGAACCTGTGAGCTCAGGCAATCCACCCACCTCAGCCTCCCAGAGTGGTGTGATTACAGGCGTGAACTACCACGTCCTGCTGGTATTTCAACATGCTAACATCCAGGGCCTGACCTTCACATAAGGTGAGTGCAGATGAGCTTCAATAGACCCTGCTGAGTCCTGTGGATCCGGCACTATTTCAGAGCTAAGGTCTAGCTCACCTAAGCTAGTTGGCACCTTTATGGCCATCCAGGCCAATGTTCCCCCCACTATGAACCAACCTCCAGCCACCAAAATACACCCATTTCTGCAGAGGAGGAGGCAGGAGCAGAGCAACGGCCCAAGGTCAAGCAAAAGCTGATCAATGGAAAGGCCAAGACTTCAAGGCAGTAGGTGAACACTTGAATATCTTTTTTTTTTCGTTTTTTGAGGCAGCATTTTACTCTGTCACTGTAGGTAGAGTGCCATAGCATCATCATAGCTCACAGCAACTTCGAACTCCTGGGCTCAAGAGTTTCTCTTGCCGCAGCCTTCTGAGTAGCTGGGACTATATGTGCCCACCACAATGCCCAGCTAGTTTTTCTATTTTTAGTAGAGATGCAGTTTCACTTTTGCTCAGGCTAGTCTTGAATTCCTGAGCCCAAACAATCCACCTGGCTCGGCCTCCCAGAGTGCTAGTGTTACAGACATAAGCCACCAAGCCACTGCGCCTGGCCTTCTTTCTGAGAAAGGGCAGAACAGCCATATTCTAACTCCCTGCAAGCTCTAAGAGCCTTTCTAAGTCAAGGTTAGGAGGTATATTCTATCACATCTTTCCTGCTCTTTCCTGGTAGGTGCTGATCTCTTTCCTCAGGAGCACAGACAGGGGTAGGAATCCCAGCAAACCCTCTTTGACTGCCAAGTCAGGCTCTGCAAATGGGGATATGTTGGGGGGTACCCTTGAAGTCTGGTATGTGCAAACTTTCCTTTGCTCCTGCTTTAGCATTTTCCCCATTGCCACCTCCATATCCCCCACACCTTGCAAGGGTTCCCTGGAAGCTGAGATGACTCAGGGATTCCAAAACTAGTCAACCCAGGAGGAAAACCCTCTGGAAAATGTTTCTCACAACAGGGAGTCACCCTAAGGAGTCCCACAGAACTGTTACTGAGATAAGGGCAGTGGCTGAGCAAATGGGTGGGGTGGGGGTACGTGTCTCAGAGCACAGGTTCTTGGGTCAAGCCCTGTCATCATGGGAATCTGCCAACCCTGGGGAAGACTGCATGTTTGAGGGGCCTTCCCTCTGTCTCAGGGGATACCCCAAAGGCCTCTCCCCAAAGGTGATGTCCCTAGTAGCCTAGGCTGTGTCCTTTCTGCAGTCAGCAAGTGAAACAAGTAGCTGAGATCATTTCCAGTTCTTCTGAGCACCCCTGTCCTGTACAGTGGCCAGAATGGGAGGTCTGGGCTAAGTTCTGCTCCCTTTTTAGGTCTGAGGTTCTCACTGGTATGGGGAGACCCCTAGGAATCCAGTTCTTCTAAAACAGCACTGCCTTGAGAACCTGTCCTAGGGTTAGGGGCTGCTCAGGACCCCAGAACCAGCCACACTGAGTCCCTGTACCAGACCAAAGGCTGGGGAACAGGAAGCTGGAGAGTGAATCTGGCTAGCAGGGTTGAAGGCCTAAGTGGGCAGGAATGCCCAGTGCTCTTGGGCAGGTGCAGGTGAGACTCGCTCTAGCCCAAGCCCAGGTGAGTAGTAGAGCACCCACTGTGTTTTCATAGCCAGCTGGGGATGAGCATAGTGTGGCATCTCTGGGCCAGGAGCTTAGATTTGGAGTTGGTCAGGGCTGGAATGGTAAACCAGCTCAGCCTTTTTTTTTTTTTTTTTTAGCTGTGTGACCTTGGCCAAGTTACTAAATTCCGCTGGGTCTTAGTTTCTTCATCTGTAGTATGGGAATAATAGTTTCCATGTAATGGTTTTATTGTAAGGGTAAAATGAGATGAGGACTGTCCAGGTCTTACCACAGGTAATGCATAGGAGCTGAGGCCAGGAGTATCTGGAAGGGAGAGGTTGTCTAGGAGCACAGGGGCGGAGGTCAGGCTGTGGGAGTGGGGTGATGATACTGGCCTTATTGCTCTTCCTAAGTGCCCTGCTCTCCCAGCTACCACCTGCTTCTTCTAACACCTCCCATCCTACCTTTCCAGTTTCAGGTCCCCCAAGACTCACCAGAACACCTTCTCCCAATTCTCCAGAATGTCCTCTGACCTCATCACTCTTCTTTTTGGAGGCTGCTTTGCCTTAAAGCATTTGAAATTTGACAGATTTCCCCCTTGTTCTGTGGTTTAAATTATTCCTAGCTCCCTTTGTTTATTTCCTGAGTCCCTGGTTACTAGAGGAGTATTTTCTAAGGGAAAGCACATGCAAATCAGGAAGCATCATTCTAGAGTCAACGGGGGTGTTGGGAAGGGATGGGGGGGGTACTAGGCAAGAATGAAGACATAGTCTGGAAGGAAGTACACTCTGGCCTGCTCTCATCACACTGCCCACAAGCAGGCTGGACCCTGGCTGACCTGGAGAGGCCCAGCTCCAAGCTTTTCTGGAGCATACATGTTCCCTCTTGACTGACAGTGGCCCTTGTTGCTGGGGGTACTAGGGCTGAGTGGGCTCACTCCATGGCATGAGAGAAACAGCTGTGCCTGCCACGGGCCATGTCCTCAAGACCCTGTGAGTGGGGACCAGGGTAAATTTGTCCCTAGAACTAAGACCTCCTATTGGGTCTTAGGTGAGGCTGTTACAGCATCCCGTCTCTTCCTTGCTTCAACTTCTCATTAATGCAATGAGAATAGTCACCCACATCTTCTTCCATCAGACCTTGCTCATCTAGCCAACAAACTTAGGGAACCAGGGCCTTCCTGGCAGTTCTGTGGGCTTAGGCCTGTCTCCCTACCCGAAGGAGGAGGCAAGGACTAGGAGAGGGTGAGGAGAATTGGGGTAGCAGGGGAGGGATAATGGGGGATAAGTCACAGATGATGGGTGTCCTGGAAGTTGGGGTCATCCAAGGTGGGGAAGAGGTCAGAGCACAAAAGGGGATGGGGGTTAAAGGAGATCAAGGAGGAGGGAAGTGTTCACCAAGGTGGGTGATCAGAAGAACATCTGAGAAGAAGGGGAATCACAGCTGGGTGTGGTGGCTTATGCCTGTAATCCTAGCGCTCTGGGAGGCCGAGCCAGGAGGATTGCTTGAGCAGGAGTTCAAGACTAGCCTGAGCAAGAATGAGATCTTGTCTCTTGTAAAAATGGTAGGGGGGAGTGGGGGAATAAAAATAGAAAAACTAGCTCGGTGTTATGACAGGCACGTGTAGTCCCAGCTACTCAGGAGGCTGAGGCAAGAGAATCACTTGAATCCAGCAGTTTGAGGTTGCTGTGAGCTATGATTATGTCAGGATACTTTACCCAGGGTGACAGAGTGAGACACTGCCTCAAAAAAAAAAAAAGAATCGTGGAGACCAGACCCTGGGTGGGAATAGCAGAGATCATAGAAATGAGGCCACTTGAAGGGAGTACCAAACCAATCAGGGAAATCCCCATAATGACAATTCACAAGAACACAGAATAGCAGGACCCTATTGCTTTGACCCCACGCCCGGAAAAGTGCAAAGAGCAAAGTTTATCCAATCAGCTACCAGGCTTATTAATGATGCTCATGGCATCCTCTATGAGTATACATTTAAGCAGCTTTTGGGTTTTTTGTTTTTTTTAAATCTCAAGTCACTCCTTCCAAAACATAGTGGAAATAAATTTGAATAAACAAAACAGGTTTGCTGAAAATAAAACCAGGACTCCTAACCTGCTCCAGTCAGCCTGCTTCCACAAGGCCTGCTGGTTGGTGCCACACCTGTGCTGAGTGAGTGCATCCGGCATGTACCAGGTGAGTGCACAGAGGGCCTGCTGAGAGGGACAGGGGCAGAGATGTTGCTGAGGGTGGAGGGAGGTCAGGCTCTCAGGTTTGCAGCTGGGAGCAGGTAAAACTAGAAACCAGAATCTCAGAAAGCAGCTGGGGCAGGGTTTGAGTGGGAAGGGGACATGGATTAGGTGGAAGCAGGTCTCTCACTGGCCTTTTCCTACAGGTGGCTGCATTCTTGGCAATGGTCATGGGAACCCACACCCTCCAGGGGCGGCTTCAGAGGGACTGTAGCCATCAGCCCAACTGCTGCCCCAGCAAAGGGCAGGACCTGCCTGAAGAGTGGCTGAAGTGGAGCACTATGCTTGTCTCTCCCCCAGAGCCTGCCAGCCTCACCTCCCACCCAGGATCCTGCAGGGCCAGTGAAGATGGACCCCTCAACAGCAGGGCCATCTCCCCTTGGAGATACGAGTGAGTCTGCTGTCCCATCCCGAATGCCTGTAGGAGTTCCCCTATGTGTGCTGGTCAGGTTCTGTGTGAGGGACCAGGGAGTTCCACTCAATTCCAGCCTGCTCTCCCCTTTTGATCTCAGAGATCAAAAGTATTTAGTTAGACAAGTATTTGAGTCCCAGATCTGACTCTTATTGGGTGACCTTGAACCAACTACTTACGTTTCCAAACTCTGGCTTTTTGTTTTTTAATCTGTAAAATAATATACCACCCCTTAGGCTAATATGCAGATCAAGTAATATATGTAAAAGTCTGTATTTATGTTGATTCTCTCCTTTTCTTTTTTTCTTTTTTCTTTTTTTTTGAGGCAGAGTCTCACTATGTGCCCTCGGTAGAGTGTTGTGGTGTCACAGCTCACGGCAGCCTCCAATTCTTGGGCTTAAGCGATTCTCTTGCCTCAGCCTCCCAAGTAGCTGGGACTACAGGCACCCACCACAGCTCCTGGCTATTGTTTTTGTTGCAGTCATTGTTGTTGTTTAGCAGGCCTGAGCCAGGTTTGAACCTGCCAGCTTTGGTGCATGTGCCCTAACCACTGAGGTACAGGTGCCAAGCTGAGTTTTTCTATTTTTTTAGTAGAGACTGGGTCTGGCTCTCACTCAGGCTGGTCTTGAACTCCTGAGTTCAGGCGAACCACCCGCCTCAGCCTTCTAGGGTGCTAGGATTATAGGCATGAGCCACCATGCCCAGCAGGGTTACAAGTATTCTAAGATAGTAAAACTGTCAATTCCTTTTTGCGGGGGGGTGGGGGGGTGGGGAGGATTGAGTGCCATGGCATCATAGCTCATAGCAACCTCAAACTCTTGGGCTTGAGCAATCCTCTTGCCTTGCCTCCTGAGTAGCTGGGACTGTAGGCATGCTCCACAACGCCCAGCTATTTTTAGTAGAGATGGGGGTCTCACTTCTTGCTCAGGCTGGTCTCGAATCCTTGAGCTCAGCCATCAACCCGCCTCTCAAAGTGCCATGGTTGCAAGGGTGAGCCCTCGCTTCCAGCCAAAACCCTCAATTCTTGGGGGCAGGAGCCCTGGGCTCATTATCTTTGACCATGATCAAGGCTATCATATTCTTTCACTCAGTGTGCTGCACAAATACAATTCTCTGTTTGTGCTATGATGTGAAAAACATTAAGGAGCACAGAAATAGGAACAGTGAAGCAAAATATTAAAAATTAAGGCCTTAAGCATCTCAAACATTTTTCTTCTTCTGTCTCGTGTTTTCACCAGGTGTCTGTGTTCCCATTCCCCATATGTCTTAACCTTGGCTTTGGATGGAGGGAGATGTTCAGTGAAGCAGGGACGGTGTCAGCTTTGAGGTTAGATCTAGGGTGGACACTATAGGTCACAGTGCTCTGGAGTGGTCTCAGAAGGCTGACTGGGTCTTGGGCCAAATCCAATGGTGTGGGAGCCTCTTAGAGGAGGCCAGGTGCCAGATGGTTGACTCATTTTTGATCCAGGCCCTTCATGGGGAGGTTGTGAACCCCTGATGGCCACTCAGCTGGGCTTCCCCAAAATGTGTCCTGTGCAACCCTCTTCCCACAAGCTTCTCCTTAAAGTTGATGATGCCAAGTAAGTTTGAGAAAGGCTGCTGCAGCCCCTACTCCTAGGAGATGCAGAATGCTTTCCATACATTACAGTCAGCAAGAAGTCTAGAAAAGAAACTGTTAAACTCAGTGTCTCCCAAACTCATTTGGCCACTCAACACTTCTTGCAGGGAATTTATTAGGGAACCCATTTTGGGAAATGCCGTGCTAGTGAACCCCAGCTTGCCAGGGCTTGTCTATGTGGAGAATGGCTCTGTAACCTGGGGGCTATTTCTTGCTAGACCACTGCAGTTTCAGACATTTGGAAAATTTACTTTTCAGAGATTTTCAAGTGTTTTTTTGAGCATGAAATCCTTTCAGAAAAAGTTTTAGGCATGAGCCACTGTATCTGGCCTTCTGTGTACTTTTTTTTTCTTTTCAGAGACAGGATCTCACTTTTTTTTGTAGAGGGTGTGTGAGTCTCACTGTGTTGCTCAGTCTGGTCTCCAACTCCTGGCCTTGAGCAATCCTCTTGCCAGGGCCTTCCAGAGTGCTGGGGTTATAGGCATGAGCCATCGTGCCTGGTCTCCCATGCACTCTTTAAGTGTGCTTATAATAAGTGCTTGTACAGCTTCTGGAAGGATGTACAGGAAAGGGTGGATGATGGCTCCCTCTGGGGAGTGGAACTAGTGGGGAGAGACTGTTAGCTTTTACTTTATATTCTATTATACTTGGATGTCACAGTAGTGTTTTTTTTTTTTTAAAACAGAGTCTCACTATGTCGCCCTTGGTGGAGTGCTGTGGTGTCACAACTCACAGCAACCTCTAACTCTTGGGCTCAAGCAATTCTCTTGCCTCAGCCTCCCAAGTAGCTGGGACTACAGGTGCCTGCCGCAACGCCCAGCTATTTTTTTGGTGGCAGTTGTCATTGTTGTTTAGCAGGCCTGGGCTGGGTTTTAACCCACCAGCCTCGTTGTATGTGACTGGTACTGTAACCACTGAGCTACTTTATTGCCTCTGTAGAGTGCTCTAGCACCATAGCTTACAGCAACCTCTAACTCTTGGGCTCAAGCAATTCTCTTGTTTTAGCCTCTTGAGTAGCTTGGACCATAGGCACCCGCCACAATGCCCAGCTATTTTTAGAAATGGGGTCTTGCTCTAGCTCAGGCTGGTCTCGAGCTCAGGTGATCCACCCACCTCAGCCTCCTGAAGTGCTGGAATTACAGTTGTGAGCCACTGCACCCAGCCCAGAGTAGTTTTTGACTTTTGCAAAATAATCATAATAATGATGAAGACAGTAGGAGACCTAAACTTCATGATTACAACATGAAAGCTCATGCTGGAGCCCAGCGTATCTATCCGACAGAAGCAGCGCTGCTCTGGTGGAGGAGCTGTTCCTTTTCCCTACCTGAGGGTCCCAAGTTCAATTGGAAAGCCACCCTTGTGCCCTCATTTACACTTGGGAAAAATAAATTGGGCAGGGGAGGTGTCTTGTTCAAAGTTACACAGCCAGTGGCTTCTAGAACTGAGACAAGAAGCCAGGCCCCTCAGCCTTCCTCAGCATCCCCACTCCTCCCACCTGGCCCTCCCTGCTCTGGCCCATCTCTGCGGGGCCTGACAAGTGCCACCTCCACAGGTTGGACAGAGACTTGAACCGGCTCCCCCAGGACCTGTACCATGCCCGCTGCCTGTGCCCACACTGCGTCAGCCTCCAGACGGGCTCCCTCATGGATCCTCTGGGCAACTCGGAGCTGCTGTATCACAACCAGACCGTCTTCTACAGAAGGCCATGCAATGGCAAGCGACAGACCCACAGTGGCTATTGCCTGGAGCGCAGGCTCTACCGGGTCTCCTTGGCTTGTGTGTGTGTGCGGCCCCGTGTGATGGCCTAGTAGTGCCTGCCTGAGGCTGGTCCCCTGTTGGGAAAGCTGGAGCCAAGTGTACAGCAATTTGCTAAGATGGGCCAGGACACTCAAGTACTCGGCCCCTGCAAAGCACCACCTGGAACAGCTGGACCTTGGAACAGGATGGAGGTCTTTGGAGAGAACAGAACTTTTACATTTTTGGAAGCACTTTTTAAAGGGAGCAGCTGCTGCTTAGGGCTGCTGGAAGCTGGTGTCCTGGCATTTCCTCTTAGGAAAAATCTTCAAAGCTCTGCCCATTTCTTGAAGCCACCACTCATATCTTCTCCTCCCATGCCCTATTGCCCTGGCCCAGCACAAGCACTTTCTTGATATTTCCTCTTTGCCACTGGGCAGCCCTTCATTTTGTTTGTTCATTCATTTGTTCATTCATTCATCAGACACTCAGTGAGCATCTACTTTGGGCACATTCTGGTGTGGTTATTGGTCTTTTGACATGGATAATTCTAAGGAAGAAGCTGTTATTGAACGTGGAGAGATTTATCCAAATAAATATCTGTATTTATAAACCTGTCCGTGGCATCCATGGTGCTGGAACATGTTGTGGTTTCCCAGCCTGTCTCTTCTCTTCCCCACCATCAACCCTCACCTTCTGTCTACCCTGCCAGCTTCCTCTGCCCTCCACAGTTTTTGCTGTATCCTCCCATTCCCTCTCTTCTCTGGTTCCCTGGCCCACCCCCAAATACGAGGGTGGGGGCCAGGCTAGCTCCTGGCATGCTGGAGAGACAGAGGCCCATTGAGGCACTGCTGCGGGCACACAGCGCCCCCTTGTCCCCCCAACAATCCGCCTTTGTCCTCTGGTCCTGGCTGCTGCAGCTTGGTCCTGGGGGTGCTGCCTGGGCCAGGCTCCAGCTCCCACCCTCCCTAAAAGGAAAGGGGAAAAAGGACTGACCAAGGAAGAGGGTTAAGGTTAGGGGAGAGGGACACAGATTTCTCAGGCTTAGGTCCCTGGGGGCTCCTAGTCTCGCCCCAGTTCCTTGGTTCACTTCCCAGCTCCTCTTGGTTTCCTTTGGGACCTCTTCTTTTCCCTTTCCTTCTCCCCTTCTCCAGACTGGGTTGGGCTCTGAGTGCGGGGAGGGTTTAGCCCCTCCTCCCTTCCTCCCCTTTTCCCCACCCCCCATCCTTTGTAGGGGGCCGGTACAGGCAGCAGTGGAGGCACTCTGGGCATCTGGGTGAAGGCCCATTGGGCAAGCCCCCCAGTGGCCACCTTCCTTCAGTCGCAGGCAGGCCTCTCAGCTTCACTCTCGGGTTTCTTGAAGTGCCTTCTTGTTCCTGTCTGCTTCCCCATCCTCCCAGTTTCTGTTTCCTTTCCTGGGCTGGTGGCAGCCGGGGGGCTGTGTGGTGGGCTCCACAGAGATGTTCGGTGCTTGGGATCGCCGGGACCGGCCCCCGGAGGAGGGGACAGCTGCAGAGCTCCGGGGCTTCGCTGTGGACAAGACCTTCCTCTCCTCCCTCAAAGGCATCCTGCTGGAAACCGAGCTGGTAACAGCTGCCTCCCCAACCTAGTGCCTCCATTTCCCCCATTCCTGGCTCACCTCTCAGCAGTCCCCCTCTATAGGCTTTCTGGACACCTCTCCTGCCCCCAGCTACCCCACCCTGTCCTTGTCTCCCACTCAGCTTCTTGCTGCCTCTCCTTTGGGAGGCAGCGACAGCAGGTTTCAGTTGCAGCAGGAAGGATTGAAATTAGACAGAAGGACAGCTTTCCGGGACAGTGAAGGAATGTGAGACATAGTGATGGGACAGTGGTAATTCTGGCTCCTCTTTCCCTGACCCCTAAGATGGCCAGTTTTTACCATGTCCAAGAAGTCCAACTATCAAAAAGGGCAGAATTCCTGTAGTCGCACTTTATCTGTTGCCTCCTGCCCAGGGAACATCTATTCTCAGGAGAGGTTCTTCCCCCGGTTACTTAGCAAAACCACAGTATAAAGTTCAGGCCTCTGCCTATATGCCAGCCTATATTGCCAGAGCTGAAGGGACCCCCAGAGTCTATTGGGAAGCATCTGCCTCCAGAGCCTTCTTTCTTGGCGTGAAATGAAAGACTCTGATCCTTGTCAGAGAAGTTTTAGGCATCTGAGAGTGGGGAGCATTATGGTCAGGGGCTGGCATTCACGTTGTACTCTGTGTTCCTGGGAGACACTATCAAATAGAGCCTCCCGCAGCCCTGCAGTGCGGCCAGACTGCTGGGCTTGCTGGGATGCCTGGGGAGCTGTGAGGGAGGCTAGAAACTGCCTTGGATGGTCAAATGCTCTGCAATGGTGGCTCCTGACACTAGGGATTGGGAGACATGCCAGAGCTCTTCCTTCTCCTCTCCAAGGACAGGTGGTGGATGTTTGGGGCAGCTCCCAAGTAGGGGAAGGCAAAGGCCTGGCATGTGCCTGTGTTCTATTCCTGGTGGGTTCCACATATTCGGTTCTGCAGGCCCTGACCTTCATCATCTTCATATGCTTCACGGCCTCTATCTCTGCCTACATGGCTGCAGCACTGCTGGAGTTCTTCATCACACTTGCCTTCCTCTTCCTCTACGCCACCCAGTACTACCAGCGCTTCGATCGGCTTAACTGGCCCTGTCTGGTGAGGAACCCTGACTTCTCCATTCTCCTCTGAATCTTGAGCTTTCCTTTCCTCTCTCAGCTTCCCTCAATTTCCGTGCCCAGCTGGGCTTTGCCCCACGCTGTGCCCTGCACTCAAAGCTGTGCTTTGATCCACACTGATTTCACAGCTACAGGGTCACTGACAAGGAGGAGGACCACATCCCTTAGATTTTCTCTCCCAGCTCACCACACGTACAGCCTCAGCACCAGTCCCAGCCCTGGCCTAGGCCGCTGACTAGCCCCAGAACCTCAGGGTGATGCAGCCCTGTATTCTGAGGTCCCTTCAACCCTGTACTCTTGGCCCCCAGGACTTCCTCCGCTGTGTCAGTGCCATCATCATCTTCCTGGTGGTCTCCTTTGCAGCCGTTACCTCCCGGGATGGAGCTGCCATTGCTGCTTTTGTGAGTTCAGCCCTGCAGGGCTCTTCAGCCCCTTAGGAACTCTGACTAGTGCTTGTACACTTTCTGTGTCAAAAGCCAAAGCCAGTGGCCAGGGTTTGGTTGCATCTCACCTGTACCACCCACCTCCCTGTCCCTTAATGCAATGGCCCAGTAGCCTCTGTTGTGTCATCTCCACTCCTACTCTTACAGGTTTTTGGCATCATCTTGGTTTCCGTCTTTGCCTATGATGCCTTCAAGATCTATCGGACTCAGTTGGCACCTAGGGCCACCCAGGGTGAGTGCCTGTGCTCTGAGGAGAGGAGATGCCCCTCACCCCACTAGATAACCCATCCTGACATGGCTTCCCTGCCTGGCTCCATCTTCACAGGGGACCAGCAGTGATTCTGGGACTACCAGGCCTAGCCTGGTAGATAAAGGGCACAGTGAAGCCCAGGCATGTCTCCTTTGGATCCGATAGTGTCCAGCCCACTGTTGACCGTTCCAGGCCTCCAGAAATGTGTGACCTGAGAAGGCACCAGGAATCTGTCTGTGGAGCCGACGCTCTGGTATCTGGCTTCTGCTGAAGTTCTGGCAGAGAAATGGGACTTAAGGGATTGGGGGAGGAAGCCAAGCCCCTAAGTCATGCTCAGATTAAAAGATTCAAATCATCCTGGTGAGTCTTTTTCTACCCCCAAAACTAGGCAGGTCAGGATGCCAAGGAATATTCATGCAAATGTTGCTGGAACAGCTCATGGGCTCTCTTTGGGATGGGGTCTGAGCAGTGAGGTGGGAGTGGGGCAGTCGGGGGTGGCTGGCCTAAAAACGTGGAAGACACCCCCCCAACACAAACCTTCCATGCTACAATTCTGTGTGCAAAGCCACTTTGTGGTGTGCCTAGTGGCTGGGCACTCAGAGTTCTGTGTCTGAGAAGGCACAAATCTTCCTGACCTAAGCGCCCACAGGACACACCACTCACACAGGTTGGTGGGTTGGAAGAGAAGAGCTAGCCTGGGGTGTGTGTAGAGCTCCCCCTCGTGGTGTGGGGAGGACTTGGTCTGCTGGTTGAGGGGAAAGGGCAGCCTGAGGCTTCAAAGAAGGGAGAGAGTCCTCAAATGCTAATTCCAGCACTTTGTAATCAACAATATTTTGGGAGGCCAAGGCAGGAGGCTAGCTTGAGATGAGAAATTCGAGACCAAACTGCTGACTTTGGTAAAGCTCTTAGACATCAGCTGGCTCAATGCTCTCATTCCATTTAATAGAAAACTGAGGCCCAGCTAAGGGAAGTGACCCCCTTCTCTGTGAGAGAGCTAGAGCTATAGCATCCAGCTCTCTTGACACCTGAGAGAGTTCTGGAGACTGTATTGTGCTCCTTTGTAACTCAGAAAATATTGGCTAGCCTCATGACAGCTCCCTCCACGGGAGGATGCACATTTCCAGCTTGCCAGCTCCTCAACACATGTTTCCTGAGGGCCTCCTGTGTGTAGACCCTGTCCTGGGCAGCAGGGGATTCAGAGGTGACAGGTGGGTCTGTCTTTAAGCCCTCATAGGCTGGAAAAGAGACAAGCTGGAGAGGGCTCCTTTGATGAAAAATTTTTTTATTTGAGACAGAATCTCAAGCTGTCACCTTGGGTAGAGTGCCATGGCATCACAGCTCATGGCAACCTCAAATTCTTAGGCTTAAGCGATTCTCTTGCCTCAGGCGTCCAAGTAGCTGGGACTACAGGTGCCTGCCACAATGCCTGGCTATTTTTTTGTTGCAGTTGTCATTGTTGTTTCAGTTGACCCAGGCTGGGTTTGAACCCACCAGCCTCAGTGTATGTGGCTGGTGCCCTACCGACTGAACTATAGGCACTGCCTGATGAATGTTTTTTGAGGGCTAGCTGTAAGGGAGTTTGGAGTCAGCACTGCTGCTGCCTGGCCATCAATCCTCTGGGACCCATGACAGTCCAGTGCAGCTGGGACACTGCCCAGCCTGAGTAGCCTGGCCTGGCCTGGCTCAGGAGCTCCATCCAAGCTGACGTGCTGTCTCTTTTCTCTGATGTGGACATACTCCTCCTTTGAAATACAATCCTTCTTCTGGGGTGCTCCTCCCAGTGGCAGACCCCAGCTCCGAAGTCTAAGTCTTGAACTCTAGTGCTGGTGCTCTGCTATCCTTCGGGTGGCCACTTCCCTCTTGGTCTGATTTTTCCTGCCTCCTGCTTTCTGTCCTCCTATCTTTGTGCTTTGGCTTCCCATAAGGATGGGCAGTCTCTTCTGGTACAGAACCAACTAGATTTTTTTTATTTTTTATTTAGACAGAGTCTCAAGCTGTCACCTTGGGTAGAGTGCCGTGACATCACAGCTCACAGCAACCTCAAATTCTTGGACTTAAGCAATTCTCTTGCCTCAGCCTCCCAAGTAGCTGGGATTACAGGTACCAGCCACAACACCTGGCTATTTTTTTTTTTTTGGTTGCTGTTGTCCTTGTTTTAACTGGCCTGGGCCGGGTTTGAACCCGCCAGCCTCAGTGTATGTGGCTGGCACCCTACCTACTGAGCTACGGACACCACCCTAGATTTTGTGTTATTCTGATTTCTCAGGGCTAAGACACAACCCATTCTCAAGATTAGTTGACTGACATTGGGGTTTGGGGTGGGATGGGCAAGGCTTGGGGAGTCAGGGAGATGAGGTGCTAGGTGAAGACATGAACCTCATTGCAAAGGCCGGTGGGGAATGAAGTCAGACCAGAATGGGGCCAAGATCAGGCCTGTGCCCTGAGCAGTTGTTGGTCCTGGGCCAGACTGTCCCTGGTAGAAGCTGAGAGAGGGCAGAAATGCAGTGTACCTTGCGTACCTGCACATGCACCTGTGGTTGTCTGTGAGTGTGAGAGCCAAAATGAGATGAGAAATGCCCAGGGTTGGTCCTCACTGCAGAGGGGTGGTGCCTTAGTGCCAGCTGGCCCCAGTGTCAGGCTGCCCTCATGGTGAGGGGCTGACCTGCAGAAGCTGGGGTCAGAGCCCTGGGGATGACAGGGATGGGTTACTTCCACAGGGCTGACTACAAGATTGCTCCCATCACCTTTTCTCACACCTTCACCCCCGGAACCCCTCAGCCAGCTCCAAGCCCCTCTATCATCAGTGAGAATTCATTTTGGAAAGAGTAGGTATCCTAGGGCACCTTTAACCTCTGCAACCTGAGAGGTGGGTGGCTAGAGGGTGGCTTCAGCTTTAGCTCCTCCCATCTAAAATGGGCTCAACAATTTAGTGCCTTTGTTTTCTGCACTTAAGAAATTTCTCCCCCTCCTTCCTGTGTGATCAACTGAGCAGAACTGGTCCTCATGCCTGTGCCACCTCAGGCAGGACTCCTCACTGCTATGGGCCTCAGTCTGCTTCCTTACAGATGTGGGATGTCCTGGCTGCTGCAGCTCTGACACAGGGACTGGGGCCTCTTTCTTCTCAGGCTACCAACACTCTTGTTCCATGATGGACCGCTGGCGGGAAGGACAGAGGGGCTCAGGCAAAGTCTGACACTCACATTTATTATAGGTTAGCAAGGGTGAGGTTCCGGAGGCAGCATCACTCCTCATCATGCATTTTTTGCTGAGAAAGGAATAAGAGGTGTGAGGGGGCAGCTGGCGAGAGGGAGAAAAACTGTGGGGGATTAAGCCCTAGGGCCTTTAGGGAGATGCCCTTGAAGGGAGGTGGTTAGGATTCTGGGGGTCTTGGGTTCTCATGTTAGGGGTACTTATGGTTGGGGGGGAACTGAGGCTTTTTGCAGAAGGGGCTGTTTTGAGCAGGAGGGTGGATTCCCATGTTATGGGTACATGGGGCCCTCAGGACTCCCCACATGTAGAACAAGGAGTGCCCACCCTGAGGGGTACTCATGCTGGGGCAATGCTGCTGTGGGGGGAGAGCCCAGGGGAGGAACCCACCTTGCCGCCAATATCGCGGCTCTTGGCCCGCAGCTTGTTGACCTGGGACTCGGCGATGTCAGCCCGCTCCTCTGCCTCATCCAGCTCGTGCTGTACCTTGCGGAACTTGGACAGGTTGGTGTTGGCCTGCTCCTCCTGTGAGGTGGGGGGGATGTGAGGATGAGATGAGGGGGTCCAGCTCTCCGTCCCTGAGCCACTCACTCCTCACTCATGTTCTTACAACAGCTGTCCCCAAAGTGGCCTGCACTTGGCTTGTCACCCTCCTCAAACTTGTCTGGCACTCAGAATCCTTCATGGCCATCCACTATCAGAGATGAATCCCATACTGCCTGGTCTGAGCCCCCTGAGAATCCAGTCTTACTGCACCTGCCCAAGCACAACTCAAAGAGACACTCTCTGACCCCAGGTTAATTTGCAGAAATGCTTGACAATCTCTCATGTCTATCCAGATGTCTTCCTCACTGCTCTATGTCTTCTGGATGGAGTCCCCTTCTAAGCCCAATTCCACTGTCACCTTCCAGCCCTGAGCCTTGCTGCCCCATGCCCTGCATCAGCATCTTCACTGCCTCCTCTTGGCTAATGGTGTATGGATTTTAAGCAGCTCGTGGGCAGGTGGTTTAGTTAACTCAGAGTGCCTGACACAGCTTTGCACACACCAGATGTGTATAGTAAATGCTGGAGAGTAAACATTTGCAGAAAACCTTTTGTCCAGGCCCTGCTGTGGGGGACACTCGTTGGTTCTCACACAGTATAGCCATGTGATGACCGAGAACTCACCGCCTCCTCAGCCTGGCGCTTGTAGGCCTTGACCTTCAGCTGCAGCTTGTCTACCAGGTCCTGCAGCCGCAGCAGGTTCTTCTTATCCTCCTCCGTCTGGGGTAGGTAGGCAGTAAGAAACCAGTTTGGGGGGAGGAGCAAATGCAATCACCTTTTTCCCTCCTCCCCCATGGTTCCATTCTTCTTTCCAGGCCTAATTGCCCCACCCTCCAGTGGCTCAGGTCAAAGAGGTGGTGGGGAAGATTTCATCTCTGCCTCTGCTTGTAGGTCAAAGGGCAAGACAAGTTCTCAGGGATTCGTGATGTGAGGAGGGCGGCTGTCCCGAAGCTGGAGTGGGGAGAGGGGCCCAGAACCCACTGGTATTCCCTGTGGTAAAGCGGCGGGACCAGGTCTGTCCCAGCTCCAAATGGTGAAGAAACTCCAGTCTGGAGCAATGTTGGTGCTCTTGGCTAGTGGTTCTGGAGTGACCAGGAGAGGAATAATGAAGAAGGCAGAGAGAAGGTGGTATTGTCACAATCCAGGTTATCCTACTCCATCAGAGCTCAGTGTTCTAATATATTGTACTGGGCCGGAATTCAGGCACCAGGATCACAGGCTCCCATGTCACTTGATCATTCCTATCTCTGTATCTTTGCATGTGCTAGAATGCCATTGCCACTTTTGCCTGCAATAAACTTGGGGTTCTACATGTGCAATCTCTTTCCTGTGGCTCTGG